TAAAAAGAGCTTGTTGTGAAAGAATTCTTATCAATGGATTGCAAGACGGCATTGCTTACTTTCGTTATTATGTCTGAGATTAAGATAAACATTTTAGAGAGAAATAAGCGCGCTATTTCGAAATCATTTATTTCGGTAACATGAAGGTATATCTCTGTGAGACATCTAAGCGCCATGCGACACGTTGTATCACGTGCTTAGCGCTCAGATTGCGTGCCACAGAATACAACTAATATTTAATGCGCTGACATAAGCAGGAATTGATCCGATAACCGTCGTGTGGAAAGTAATTAGGTTAAATCTCTAATCAAGATTAACTCAACTCGCGAGAAGACCGATAACGTTTATTACCGACGGACGTTCTATTAACGAATATATTTTTCACACGACATTTCTCACTATATCTTACTCGATATTCGCTGAACGCACATATAAAAAGACATACGGAGTTTATTTTGAAAATTGACGAGATGTATTGTAGAGATATTTGCAGACAAATGTTCGCTTACAAATTAGGTATCTTCGGTGTTTATTGCGGTAATCGTAATGTTGCCCTACTTGCGGAAACACATCCATTCTGTTGCTAATCGGGCAAGAGAACGCTTTACTAAATATAGTTTAAACTTTGGTCTCTAGTTGCCCTACTAGCCGTGCCAAATTTACATTTAATGACACGTAGTCGGCAGTGTGGACGCGAGCATAGGCAAAGTGTGAGGTATTTCGTCGAACAGGCGATGGTAATTTTGCGCCCTTATATGGTTGAGAGAGAGAGAGAGAGAGAGACAGCACACATGAAACATTAATTAGAATAAATCAAGTTCAAAAATTAGTATAAGCGTTAATTATAAAATGTGTAGCGTAATATGAGAGAGAGAAAGAAGGCTTCCTTTTCGTTGCGGAAAAGTTTAAAACATTTTCAAAAACAAAAAACAACGAGTGTGAAGATTGTTGACGCTGCACCGTCGGAGAAAAAGTCGATAAAAATATCATTAAATCCCTCGGCGAATATTCCGCTAGCATTATTGTGCAATTTGTTCAAATTACGTCCGAATCAGCTGCGTCTTTCTGCTCCAACACGCAAAATGGCTTTACCTTGTCCGATAAAAAAAATAAATGTCATTTAGCGTCTATAAAAATTAAACAACTACACTGGAACGTAACAACAAATTACAACAAAGGCATTTTGTTGCACGTAATGCAACGTAAATATCTCGCTTTTGTAGTTCTTTTGCAAAAGTTCTGTTACTTATATGTACATATAAAAACTGCATTAAACAAGTTTCTGCTGAAGAAAACCCGACATTGTATAAAAATTTGATCGAAGAATCCGCCATTACGAAATAATAAAATCATAGTAGAGAACTTTTTGCCGAACGTAATACATAATTTAATGCGAAACGCTAAGATTCAGTGCACAGAATTTTCGCAACGCGCTCTCGTAGCAGGAGAAAATCTCGACGACAATACTGAAAAATTCATACGTTTCGAAGAAGAATGTGAGCGGGATTGCGAATAGATAAGGCTGAGGGGGGCACCTGACACGCATATGACGACTAACGGGCATACATGGTCAGACGTTAAATCGATACAAGCAAGCATCGGTGGTGGTCCTTCGAGAATTTCACATGACGTTACTGCACGAAAGGTTCCATTTACTCCCGAGAAGTCAAGTGTCGATATTTTATCAGAGAAGCAGCATCGATACTTTACGTTTTCGAGGATAGGATATGTCGGAGCCATGCACAAATTCTCTCCGGTCAGACGATTCTCCGCAGGCATCGTTTTTAAATTATTAACATTCACAATCGTCTAATCTACATTAACACTAATTTGTCACCTTTAAAAACCACGAAGGGATCACATAAGTGCGAAATTTAAATCGATATTTTAACTTTAAATGGTTATTTTGTTAAAAAGCAATCTTTTTAAAAACGATTACGTACAGAACTACATTCATGTTTAATAAATAAATAATTGTAAAATTATAAAAATTCAACAAATGAGTGGAATTTTCAGTTCCAAAAAAGGCTAATGTGAACCAATATACTAGGTGTTGATGTATTTATATTACTTTTATTTATAAATAAAATTCAAACGTTTCGATTCCTTTCTTTGGATTTTAACTAAATAGAAAAAAACGGAAGTACTAACATAGAATATACGTAAATATGATATGTAAATTATAAAATAATCATATGAATAATGACCTATAAATCTTATTAAAATTTAAAAACATTTAAATGAAATGTTGATAGCAACATATATCTTACATGTAAAACATATTTCAACCATCTAAGTCAAATTGATATTAATTATATTAAAAAAACAAACATACAAATATAAACTACAATTAACTAAAATAATACAAAACTTTTAGACAATAAGAGTTTTTATTTAAAAAGATTAGTTTTTGAGAGTTTTATATTAGATCACAAAATAATTCTATCAACATTATGTCCTAAGACCGTAATTTTTTTATTAAATCAATATGAGGTTAAATTGTTTTATGAACGGACTTTCTTAAATTTGAGTTTCGTATATAACTTGTTACATGACAGTGTGTTAGAGAAAACATTATTTATAAGCGAGTTAATTGAAGATTGTATGACACTATTTTTTAATCTTGTGCTGTATGAGCTGTATATTCGATTACTGGTGTTTTATTATTTTTCTAAATGATGTTTTCATTTTTGACTAAGTATGTACTTATTTTATTCGGTTTTTACTTTATATTTGTGCATGTTTGTTTTAGTTTATTTTTCATTAATAATAATTTGACTTAGGTTAGATAATGACTTGAGTATGCTTTGCATGTAAGATTTGTTGCTATCAACTTGTTATTTAATTGTTTTTAAAACTAGGTAAGGTTTAGTTCATTATTACAATTATTTTATAATTTACATATTATATATTGTACGGTGATAATTTCCGTTTTTCTCTATTCAGTTAAGCACTGAAGAAGATCCATACAAAAACTTAAAACATCTGAATTTATTGTGATAAGAAAGTAATATAAATACAACAACGCACCTAGTATATTGGCTTGCATTGGCTCTTTTACTTATTTATTGATATTTATGTTTGTTCTTTTGTAAAAATTGCCATCTTTTTCATTTCTGTTTAAATAGTATTTATTTGTTATCACGAGGCACCTAAGACTTTGCAAAAAAAATTATATACATAGTACAAAAATTATTAATTACTTTGGAATAAGATTTTAGAAACGTTTTGTTAAATGTATATAATTTTTTAAATAAAAAAATTAAATTACAATAAAAGTTTTAAGTGTATACAGTGAACCAAAATGTCACAAAAGATCATTACACAGTTGTCGAAATGGGATTAGATGTCTATCAAGTGGTCGAGGAAAAGCGTACGAATATCTCGCGCACGAGAATCCAAAAGATTTCGCGTCCGGCGCACACAATAGCAAAAAGTCGCGATGTGCGGAAACTCCGTTCTCAGAATTTCCTCTTTTCCGCGCAAAGAATGTCACGGTACGACTTTATTACTCGGCTAGTTCGATTTACGAGTTACTCGAATCCAGGTATTTTCTTCTGCGAGCAGAAGGGAAGTATAGAGAGGAGAATTGCCGCGATGGAAAGAGACAGAAAGAAGATCAAGGATGTTCGGCGATAAATTTTCTTGGCCATAATGGGTCTCCGTGTGTGTGTGTGTGTGTGTGTGTGTGTGTGTGGTAGAACGGGCAGTGATGGGCGCGGATATCGGGGGTAGGATTTCCGTGTCGACTCAAGGAGGCAACGCTACGGTAAGATCCACAGTAAGAACGAGTGTGAAAAAAAACAAAAAAAAAAAAGATAAAAAGATAGAAGAAAGTAGAGAATCAAGCGGGAAGTGAGATCGAGAATGTCATTATCGACGAGAAATTTTCGCGATCGCCCGACGTTTGCTAGTAGACGATGCCAGAGGACTCTGCGATGAGAAGATAGTAACTCGTACGTCGTTCCGAAATAATCTGCATCTAAAATTATTTCTCGAGCTATACTAGAGAGAGAAGAAAGATATAGAAACAGAGAAAGAGAGAGAGAGAGAGAGAGAGAGAGAGCGAGAGAGGAAGAGAAACTTCCATTCTTGAACACATTCTGTCTTCGTTCCTCGTCTCGTACATACTCTTATTTGTCCCTCTCTTCCCGTTCGCATTCTACTGGCGTCTTCAGTCTAATACCGGTCTTTCGTCGTAATACCTCGTTCGTGTCTATAAAGTAAACCCCTCATAAAGCATCGAGCCGGCGCGAAAAGCGTGAGGAATCTCCCTGGATACTGCGGTTTTCGCGGTGAACGAGAGTGGTCGAGGATCTTTAAAGTTTTACACGCCAAGGGGCGAATGGTGCACCGCCGGTAATCCGTTTCAGTCATTCCGTATGCACTCGGATATCTCTCAACCGATGGTGCACCAAAATTGCAAACCGACGGAAAGAGAATTGAAAAGAAATTAAGAACCACGGAAAACAGTGAAACGTCTGCATAAAACATTTTTGCGTGAAAGGCAAAAACAAGATTTAAATGCGATTATTTAAGCGTATAAAGTTAAATAACAATGGAAATCGGAAAATAAATAAATACACTGACGTTACAGAGAAAGTTTGTATACTATATCTCATTTTGCGCATATGTAGTTTTAAGACTGAACTATATATTTTTTCTCCACTTGATACAAACGAGGGAACATATAACTAAGAATAAAACATAATTCTAAAGAGAAAGTGTGAAAGAAGCGTACAATGTTCATCTGAGATTCCAGTAGCGACCAATTTGCGACGACAGACTCGTTTGGTGGTGGAAGTTTTTAAATTCGGGTCTCGCTACCTGATAGAGGATTCCCGAGTGGCTATTTCTCACAGGCGAATAGAGTCGTTTAATTCCGTGGACTCGAGACGCGGTAGAGAGAACAGAGAAGTGCCTGAATGTCAGATCTCGGCTTTTATTGCAGACGTTCCCTTGCGTTTTCTTTTTCTCGGTTTTTTTTTTTTTTTTTTTTTTTTGAGCTTGCGTGCGCTTCTAGCTGGACATAGTCGACTGTTCAAAATTACTAGGCGGATTTAACGAAATTTCCGCGTCGACAAAATATTTGCGCGTTGCAGCTCCTTGATATTCCGGTTTGGTCTTCTGCCGAATTGCGTCGGCCCTTTTCTTCTTAATTTCGAGTGTTCGCGAATCGAGGTCGCGTGTTTTACGAGAACGACAGATACAAAATATAGCGAAACATTCAGCTCCTGTAATATTCAAAAGGATCGGTCGAGGGGAACACGACGGTGAAACATCGGAAGTAACGAGGCGGACTTCGAACTAGTGCATCGACAATCGCAGCGCGTAAGAAAATAGAGAAGAGGAATTGAGAGAGAAGGAAATTGATTGTATTCCAAGAAAATTCTCTTTACAAGTGAGAATATGCATGATTAAATCAAGATACAGTCAGTTAAAAATATTAAAAAAAAGGGAGAAGTACTGAACAAGAGGAGAGAAGCGCGTAATGTATAAGAGTGAGAGATAAAATAAAACTGTAAGAATAAATATTTAAGAGATTAATTTGTCTCTCGGGATGAAAAAATTTAATCAAACAAATATGCACATGTGATGAGTGTATTTGGTATAAAATGTAAGAAGGAAATCTCAGAGTTACTTACGCACCAATAAAAGACGGGATTGTAACATTGTGAGACACATTGATCCTCGATATAAAAACGAACGTTTATTTTAGATAAAAGCAAATTGGTTGTATTTTAGATAAAAGCAATTTGCTTTCGCAAACACAGAATCTCGTTAACGAAGCGCGGAATCAAAAAGAAAAAAGAACAGTCTAACATAAAAGCAGACGGCTTCTTCGGGTTATATAGGCGGCACGCGAGTTTCTCTTCGCACAGGAATGCAGGATCACGATGAATTTTACAAAACTCTGTGTTCGTCGGAGACTCTGCGCTTCGGCAAGAAGGGATTCTTCCACGATTTCAGTGAGTTCGTGATGCAAACCGCGGGCGATAGCTGGACGTCGAAGATATTCGGCCGGATCGATGACGACGAGGAACGGGTAAGGGCGGTTTTCGTCGACGCGAAAGTGAAGGACGTCGTCGCCGACACGCTCGCAAAGGTGAAGCTCCTTTTCAGAGACAAGGATGCGGAGATATCTAGACGTCGACGACTCGAAGGATACCAGCTCGCTGCCGTTGGTGAATACGACAAGGCCCTCTTGCTGTTCAGCCAGGCTGTACTACGTGCTCCCCTACCAGGTTGTTACAGTTATCTATATATTATCAATTCTCTGAACACCGATCTTCCCTGATTGAAAATAAACGCGCGTAAGTGAAAAATGTCAAATTTATATTAAAATTACAGATATTCTTAATATATATATTGTTTACTAGATGTAAAATAATACAATTGTATTGTTCCAGTAATTAGAATGTGTAAAATACTCTCTCTCTCTCTCTCTCTCTCTCTCTCTCTCTCTCTCTTCTCACAAATAATTATCATATAATTATTAATATTAATATTATTATTATTACAACGTAACATAATATACCGAATTATTTTCACTTGACATAATTATTAATTGCAAATTAATTTGTTATAGTTCGTTGTTATAGAATGACGAGATTTGTTAAAAAAACTAATTAACAATAATCAACAATATAAATAATTGTTTCTTAAATGTCGTTTTCTCTAATTAAATTGTTTCTGAAAAAGTTTTATAAAAATTTCTCAACAGAGTTTTTAAAATCCCATGACGCGATTGCGTCGGTGACTAAACTGATAGCAGCAATGTGGCATCGCGCCAGTTCCACAACAAGTAGAATAAATTCTTCTCTTAGGTTCTCTGCTTGTCGCGTCTTTCCAACATATATCAATCGATTTCGAAAGAGACTTCTGCATTTTCATGGCTTCATTGACTTTGTGTCGATAAATTTGTGCGCTTGACTGTAATCAATGAGCGAAAGTCAAACTCAAATAGGAGATATTTTTCTCTAAGTCGTACAATATCAGCGATATTTGTTTTTCAGGTAAAAACAAGACGGTTGATCAGGGTCTGTCGTTGCCTCTGGCGCTGCTCGGAAGAGCCGAGATCTTTATGGCTTTGAAAGAATACCATTTCGCGTTAGAAGATTTACATCTGGCTGCTGAATACGACTTGCCAGATAAATCGTCGTAAGTGCTCGCATCTTAACCTATAGAACTGCGACTTATTATTAATCTGACGTAGAAAAGATTCAATCTGTCATTATTTGTTATGCGTCGCGTGCTAACAAAAGAAAACTAATGTAATTTCTAGTATAGCACATACAAAATTATACAATTGTGTGTGCAATCAATTCTATATCATTTATCAAAGATATTTATTCTTTCTAAAGTACACACTTAGTTTCTGATCATTTTTATACAATTAGATATATGAAAAGAAGTCACACACTTCTAATCTAATGATGACAGTTCGTCGCGCGTTTCCCCATCGATTTTTTTGAAATCAATGCGTGAATTATAAATCGTTCCTCGTATTTCACGAATAAACAAACTGCGCAGGTTTGCTCAGCTGCGGAATTTACGACACGCTCTCTTTCGTTTCCGCATGTTTTCGCCGGCAACTGAAATGCTACTTCCGGCTGTTCTCTATAATTTTCGCGCGCTCGCGAGAGCGAATTTTCCAGGCACGCGCGTGCGCGCGCACACACAGATATGTATATATAACCGATAAATTTAATCGCCGGTGTATCTGGCCGGGTGTACGCTTGCCTGGGCCCACCGGAGCTTTCGAGCTCGATATAATATAGCGAGGAGCAAGAAGGGAGTTATGCGCGCGTACTTCCTAAAATATTCAGAAGGGATGAGCGCATATCTACCGGGACGTTGGCGGACGTTGCCGAACGAAACTAGACTCTGGTTTTAGCCTAGCTTCTCTGCGGTGCTGCTGCTGGGTTAACCTCGTGCAACTAACACGAGTACATGACCGGCCTTTGAGCAGACGAACAATAAACATTTAATGCGATGCTTTTGAAAACGTGCGTTTTCTCCGCCGATGCGAAGCAGACAAGAAACATCAAAGAAATATTCAAACCGCTATTTGACTTTACATGAAACGTGCGTGCATTAAATATTAAGTACAAAATAAGGAAAGAAACAATTGCGATCGGACAAACATTCGAGAGCAATGAAGATGGATTTCAAAATTAGAAAACTCGACACCGTTTGCGTCCATGGAGATCCGTTTTTCGTATATATTTCAACAAAATTCTGTCTGCGCTGCACGTTTCACCTAATTTAGAAAGATAAAAATCAATTGTGAACGCTCTAGTTCTTATTTGGAGAACTATTACATGTAGAATATTGCATATTTTGGATTTAACAAAAAACTCTTCTGATCGCGGTGAAGAATGAGAAGAAACTTGAAGAATCGTATAATCCGTTCCTCTGTCGAAAAAGAACTGATTTTGAGAAATACGCGTTCCGCTTAGCATGATCGCGGGCAACTTTCCATCTCGTCGTTCTTGTATTATATACCTCGAGTATTGTATTATATCTCGAAGTGAGAAACAATATTGAGAACGACCATTTAAGCGATTCATATCGAATATTTAGAATATTTCGCATGTGTGTAATATATGAGATAAACTGTCGTTACACATATATCGGATGAAAATATCATAAAATCCCCCGTGGCAAAATAATAACGAGAGTAATTCGCTCTTTGTCCATGCGCGATCGACAGGATTAACAGTATTTGTTAACAGCGTGACTCTGAGAGAAAAAATAATGTTACGCAGTTTCTCTTTGTAGACATCTATATACGCGTGCAAGAAAATATGATTTTTGCACGTAGTTAATAGAAATAAAAAAATGGTAAAAAAGTGGATTTTCTGTTTTTTTTTTTTTTTTTTTTTTTTTTTTTTTTTTTTTTAAATTGGCTTCATTATTTAAACAGAAATAATATATAATGCACACTCAAATCTATAAACAATTTTTGAAATTCGACGCTATTTTCAAATTTTCCGAAATGTCATATAATCTCGCTTTAACAATCTACATATCCCGCGGTTTATCGACGCAGACAGGCATAGTTATCATTCGCGTAGACACGAGTGAGCTCCCGTTCATCGTCCAGCCGGTGGTCGTGGGAGTTTCACAAAATCGATAATATAAACATCGAGCAAGCCGTTCGCTTGCTCGTCTGCTCGCGAGGTAGCTATTCTGTCAATTAAATCGCAGCTGATTTAATGACAGATAAATACGGACATGACGGATTATGCAAAATGAATTTTACTCGACCCACGCTACTCGGTATCCGTCGCGCACCGCTTAAATGAGTATTACATTTAGAGACGAGGGTGGTACGTTCTAATTATAATTGCTACAATTATCGGCAAGCGTGTATCATTCGAAATTCTCAAACGCAAGCGGGTCATTAGGAAGGCGAGGCGCTGGTGCGCATAACGAGCGCGGTAATGGATATTATCGAAACACTTTCGGCGCTTACGTTCGATAACGAGCGCGCGTCTCATTGTGAACGTTCTAAAAAAATTGGTATAAATAATGCGATATAGAGAGAACGCGTGGAAACGCTCGATATGCAGTGACAAAAATTACGGAAATATATTTCCACGGAGAGATCACGTTATCTAGTGCAGCGATATTCTCTTTTTCTTTCTTTATCTCTCTCTCTCTCTCTCTTCCTCACTTTTCTCTCTTTTACACGCAAAATACAGATTTCTACCAACGTTCCCGCAAACAAATCAAATAATATTTTGCGGGGAAAAGGGTCGCTGCTCGGCCGCGTTACAAAATATTCGCGAGATGACAGTCGAGAAAACATGTTTGCTTTATCACGAAATAATAGTCATCGCGTTTTACGCTCTGTAATTGTGAGAGAAATATATTGTTCAACAAAAACAGAGGGAAAGAGTGAGAAAAACTCTCCACGATGTGTTTCGCGATTCAGTATCAAAATCTATTTCATTTTCGTTACTCACATTGTTATCCAAACGTCATATTCATTAGCCAAAAACCACAAAGAAAGGTACAAAAGTTGTAGTGCAAAAAAAAACCAAACTTTTCATGAACGGAATATAAACCGTACCGAATTTGAAATAAAGCAAAAGTTACATATATAAGACAATTTGTCTCTGTGCTAAAGATATACAAACTTGGCAATCGAATGTTTCTTTCTGAACGAGAGAACTTTTCCAATAAAAGAAAATCATTTTTTAATATCAGATATATGATATCGTTTTTTTTAGTTTTTCTTTTACTACCGTGATTATTAAATGTTTATCCGAACTTGTGAAAAAAACTTCATTTTAACTCTTAAAGGCTATCATGGGTGAAATTTCACCCTGTGCAAAGTTCGTTTTAATGTTATTAAAAAACGTAACCACTGGCAACACTAATTTTTATGGTATCATTTACACGATCTTTTTTATTTCTAAAAAATAAAAAAATATATACTGGTGTGAAATTTCAGCCATAATAGCATTAATGATTTTGTATGTGATAGCTTTTAAGGATCAATATGTACAATAACTTAATTTAACTATTAATAAAATTGTTAAAAAAAAGTTCATTGTAGCACGCGCGCATATATATATACACACATACACACACACACAAGTATTTGAAAAATAATATAACTTCGTGTTTTCCACATTTACCCGAAACAAACACTCGAAAAAAATCAACCAGACGTGGAGCCCATATTTGTAGAAAAAGATAGAAATACTAGAGAGATACGAGATCGAGCCATCAGCTCGACGAGGTAGAAGACACCGAAACTTCGTCGCTGGGGTCACGGACAAAATTAGATCGGTCCTCGATCTTCGCGCGCCAGGCAATTCGCGACTGGATAAATCGTGGATACGAGCCACAGTCGCAATGAAACTGGTTTTTTCCTCACCGGTTTCCAACCGGACCGCGGTCTCGCTTCTGCCGCGACGAAGAAGAAAGACAGATGTTGAACACGATCGCAGAGTGGAAAGAACAGCCCGGGCGAGGAAATCTCGTACGTCTGCCCGTCAGTTCGAGCAAGAAGGATTGCTCTTCTCGGGACCGGGCCGGCGCACGTTCTCCTGCAAGGGCTTTGATCCAGATTGCTGTTGCTTTCGTATAAAGCGAGGAGGGAGGTAAACGACGTAGGGCGATGCGATGTGACGCGACGCGATTATCGGGATAAACATGCACGCGGACAACCCGAGTTACGCATGATGTACGAGCGAGAATTTTTGTGCGCCATGTCAAAATGACATAATTGTATTACCGCGTTTTGGTTAATCCGAGCTTAAAGTGTTTTATTTGATGTTTTAAACTCAGAGTGTGTAACAAATACACAATGTTTGAAAAATAACATTACTTTATTATATATTTTTACATTATTTACAATAAATTTCTGTTAAAAAATTCGGAATATAAATATATATAATATAATTTGTTATATATACTTGGATGTATTTCATATTTATATACTCTATGTATAAAGGATTTGTAAAACGGATTTGTAAAACGGATGTTGTAAGAAAAGCAACATCACATAGCGTAACATATACAACAACGTGTTATAACATTTTCGAATAAATAATCGAATCATCGCAAATGGACACTATCTCATCAAAAGAATAGTCTTTTGAGGTGGAAAATTCTCCATAAATTATATAAATTAAAAGTACTTTGGTTTTATTATTTCTTCAACAGCTTCAACAGGCGAAAAGCTGAGAGCTTTGATCGTAGACAATGCAGAAGAGAGATTTAATTATCGAAATAAAGAACTGATGGGAGAAGAGAGAAGGGAAGAAGTGATGAAAAGCTCGCTCGGAAACGCTTTCGTGCTCGAAATGACGGAAAGATTCTCGTCGTCGTTTACGAGGATACAATTTATTAAGCGACCAGGCAAAGCGTAAAAACGCACTAGAGATTTATCGCCAGGGAATTTTGCGAAATAAAATAACGCTCGTACATACGGCGTCACGGTTACGCGTATCCAAGATAGTCGTGTTGAATTAATGCAATGAGGGTAGAACTTGGCTCTACCGTTTCGACCCGACCCTTAACCCTTCGGGCAACCCTTAATCCCACCGCAAAAGCTTTAAATCCGTTGAATGTCTCAAACTTGCGAATCGCGATTTCCGTTGCAGACAAAGAGAGAGAGAGAGAGAGAGAGAGAAAGGTCA